ATGTGAGACAAAACTGTGTCATCTTTGTCTTCAAGGAACATTCTGACTGCACGCTATCCAAGACATGTCTGGTGGTTTTGGGTAGTTGTGGAGTTTGTCTCTCAGTATGGCTTTTCTAATGGAGACGACTGACTGTGCACGATCAGGATTGTGTAAATAAGGTTTATTGGCCTATCCACAAAGGTATTGGCTTGCCAGTAAATTGAACAGCTCTAGCTGCAGAGAATAGGAATTCTTCCCCCCTGGAAGGAATTCTTACTGCACTAGAAAAGATTAAATTCTTTGCCTTGCCAGAACTCCTTCAACCCAGTGAAATGTAAGACATGCTTCAGGATGGCAGTAGCAGTGATGGCTGAGCTGGAGAACTGGACGTAAGAAGGAACTTTGTGGAGAGGACCAATATTGACAGGACTGAAAACTTGGGAACACTTAAGAGTTACTAGGCTGAGGTGCCTGCACGCACATTTTGGGAACAATCTTGACTCTATTTTGTTATTAATCTGAATTAACCTTTTAACTCCCTCAGTTCAGTTTTGTGTGATCTATGAGCTATCACACTGAATTTTAGACACAACCAAGCAATAGGATTAGTTGTGAGATGAGTATATAGAGGAGGCATGGGAAGGTGTGGCACATGTATGACCTCACAGGAATTGGTTTTGAGTTATAGATGCTGTGGGCAGACACAGTTTCCTCCTGTGACGCTGGTAAAGGTCAGATATGGCACTCCCCATGTGGCCATTGCTCTTTTTACAGTTCATGAGTTATTCATTGCTCTTCTCCAACACCACAACTCAAGGCATTAATTCTTCTTCTGTAATCCTTATTCATTGTTCAGCTCTCAGATATATAGCAAATCATTGAAAAGACCATTCAATCAGACACACCTTAGCAGCCAGGAAATAAAGAAACTGCATTATAAAAATCTGCTGTCAGAGACCTCTTCAGAGTACTGAGAAGCAATGATGTCAGTCTGCAAACTAAGGTGCGCCTGATCCAGGCCATGTTCTTCACAATTACTCACTCTGCATTAGAGAGCTGGACAATGACTAAGGATGACAGAAAAATTGATGCTTTTGAGTTGTGGTGCTGGAGAAGAATCTTGAACATACCATGGACCGCCAAGAAAACAAACAGGTGTGTCTTAGACAGAGTGTACCCAAATTTCTTCATCTCACATACTTTGGTCCATTTGGCCAGGAGGGGCCGATCCTTGGAGAAAGCCATCATATTCAGAAGGGTGGAGGGACAGCACAGGAAAAGACTCTGGATGACATGGATTGATACAGTAAGTAGGGCAATGGGGATAGGTGTGTCAAGAGTCAGTAAGACTGTTTCAAGACAGGGGAGGCTTCAAAGGTGCTGTACATAGAGTCGCTATGAGTTGCAGATAGCACATAGCAACATCTCTTTAGCTTAAAAGAAAATTGACATTATTTACTATTGTAGTTGTTTACCATTCACAGGAAAGACAAGGAAACGTGAAATGGGAGACAGCAGACCCTCCAAGGAACAGGTTTTCAGAGGCTGTATGGAAAAGAATGCCCACCTTTTCCTACCGTAGCAGAAGGGGGATTCAAACTGCGTGCCTTTGAGCTGGCTGTACAACTCCTTGCCTCTAAGCCACCAGAGTTCTCTTCTGGTCAAGTTACACTGTTGTTGTTATGTGCCGTCAAGTTGCCTGCGACTCATAGCAACCCTACATACAACAGCCCTAAACTCTGCCCTACCCCCATACCCCAGTCACTGAATCAGTCCATCTCATTGAGGGTCTTCCTCTTCTGCACTGTCCCTCCACTCTCCCAAGCATGATGTCCCTCTCCAAGGACTCGTCCCTCCTTGCAACATGGCCAAAGTATGTCAGGTGAAGCTTCAAAATCCTTGCCTCCAAGGAGCAGCCTGGTTTAACCCTCTCCAAGATGAACCTGTCCATTCTCTTAGCACTTCATGGTATATTCAACACTCTTCTCCAACACAACAGCTCAAAAGCATCAATTCTCCTTCTATCATCCCTAGTCATTGTCCAGCTCTCTGATGCATAGCAAGTAATGGCAAAGACTATGGCCTCTATCAGGCATACCTTAGTCTCCAGACTAAGAAGAGCCAAAGAAGAGGAAATAGAAGACTTCTACCAATTTTTATAGTCAGAGATCGATTGAATATGCAATTAAGATGCATTAATAATAAAGGGTGACTGGAATGCAAAAGTTGGGAACAGAAGAAGAATAAGTAGTTGGAAAACATGATGACAGAAATGAAGCTGGAGAATGAATTTTGCACAATCAGCACCTTATTCATTGCAAATATGTTTTATGAGAAACATAAACACAGGCTAAACACATGGATTTCACTTGATGGCATGCATAGGAATCAGATTGATTACACCTGTGGAAAGAACTGCTAGAAAAGCTCAATTTCAGCCGTGAAAACTATGCCTGGTGCTGATTGTGGAACAGACCACCAACTACTCACATGCAAGTTCAAGCTGAAGCAGAGGTAAATTAAATCAAATCCACAGGAACCAAAATAAGATCTTGAATCTATCCCAATTGAATTTCAGAACCGTATTAGGAATAGGTTTGAGGCCTTAAGCACCAATGTGCGAAGACTAGATGAGTTGTGGTTGGATATCAAGAGCATGCTGAGTGAAATATCCCAGTCACAAAAGGACAAATATTACATGATGCCACTGTTGTAGAATGGG